TAATTAATTTGTTTAAATATGTCGTGTAGTAATAGATTTATTTATTTTTCTTCTCAAGAGAGTACCAGAATGTGTATTTTATGTTAGTATTTCAAAAAATCTCCTGGGGGAGAATCCCCCCAGACCCCCCTGCAGGGGTTGGGTCTTCAGCATGTCAACTCTTTCACCTGTGGGGAAATTGCAGGATTGGCTCCAGGTCGCCCTTTTTATTTACTGCAAGACAAATGTGCCTTTTTATTTCATACAGTTCAATTTGGATTGAGACAGGGAAATGATCTAAACCTCACGCGTGGCGTTTCACTGTCGGGGGGAGCGTGTATGTAATTACATTGCAAATACTGACTTGAGCCCCACCACTGTATGGGTTAGCCCTACCATAGATTACCCAACAAAAATACTCTGGAGCCGCAACTGCCGACCCGTATTGCGCATGCGCAGATCTAAAATCCAGTAGAAATGATAAAAAAGTAAAAGTCTGCTGCTTATTGTTCTACTAGGCCAAAATAGAGTCAAAGAGTATATGAGATTGAGAGTGTGTTAATTAATATATTTGGCAGTTTGGAGTAAGTCTGTAGATTTGTTTGTGTGTGTGCATTTTTATTTATCGTACGATAAGTCAATTAATTGCTTATCGCGACAGGCACACAATAAAACAGTGGAAACAAACATGTTTGACTTTCATTAGTGAATGAAACTGTGTGCCCTTTATAGTCTGTGTCCATTATTGTGTATTTGTATATATTGTATATATATCCTATATGCTAAGGTCCCGCTGCTGACACGATAGCAGTCATTTCGTGCGCATATGTGTAATTAAACCGAATTAAACCCATGATATCAAAATCTCACTCCAGCCAGGTACCCAAAGTTGGCAACCCTGTACAACTGCGTTTTAGTTTCCAAACTCCAGAAGGAGACATTCCTCCAGTTTAGTTTCGCTTTCCACACGCGAAGCGGCAACATTTTTTCTTTACAATGTGTGTCTATGTAAGTATCCTCCTTCGATTCTATTGGCTCTAACGGTCACAAGGGTATGTCAACCAACCAGATCGAGCAAGGGGGGCCAGAGATAGGTCAAATCCACCCAAATGACCCCAGATGGCCCAGTTTTTGGCTAAATCTCTCTAAAAAGGTCAAATTTCACTTGTTTTGCATCAATCTTGATACAGGGTACTTATTATATGTTGTACTTTGGATTCCTAAAGCTTTTAGTCTACTAACCCATCATCCAAGGGTAGTTTTCACTATCTGTAAAAAATAATTTTTGGACGGACACTATAATTTACAGTTTTTTACTATGTAAAATCTGAATTTTCTTTAAAATAAAAAACATTTATATTGATTCTGACACTTCTACATCCAACTCACAGGTTTATCATTACTTTGAGAAAAGATTATTAATTTAACCCTTTTAGAAGGGAAGATATGGTCATTTGTTCTGGGAATGTCATTTTCGAGCCTGAGACCTGAAAAACAGGCTCAGAGTGGAACAGGTTCTTCCTCTTTTCACTTGTTGCATGCCTGGACAGTTTCCAAATAACTGAAGGGACATTTCTAATGTGGGACAGAAGAAAGCTAATCTAACACAGTTCAAAAGTAGAGATCATCAATTGTCATCCTGAAACATGTTTCTCCACTAAACGTTCAAAATATACTTTGACAATATTATCTGTTTACTTTTGGGGTAAAACGACGGAAACCTGCTTAGTGCAAGTATGCAGTTTGACCAACTATTAAAGGACAGTCCTCCGATTTAGCCTAGACAATCGTATTACCTTAAAAGATATATCTGAAGTTATTGTGTTTGAATCCAGAGAAACACATCAATTGCCTCCTGGTCAAACCAATCTTTAAAATCTCATTCAAAACTCTGTGAGGCTTTTTTCTGCTGAGGAGAACAACTCAAAGTTATCGATATTTCTCTGTAGATTCATGAGCATTACACATAGTCATTAGATCCAATATGTTTATGGGATTATACTTTAAAGGTTTTTACACAAATGAGACACTTTTCCACTTTATATGAAACATGACCTTATTGTTATCACAAAGTTTTGACAGGTTATTGACTAAAAGTTATAAGCACACTTATTACTTTCACATTGAAAATAAGAATTAGGACATTTCAATCCAAATCATCAATTCTATAGTCAAAGTTAAGTCAAGTTTTATTTTAGTTATAGCTAAACCTCACTTTCTCATCACACTCTGATTTGAATGGGAATTTGCTCATTAAAGGACTATGCAGTAGGAAGTCTAATATTAGAAAAATAGAGAGTTACAGAAAGGACAATCATGTAAATAATTATTGATTTGGTTGTTTGTCAGGGCACTTGCCGTAGACTTCTTCTTTATGTATGTTCTTGTATGCTGGCATTTCAACTTTATCATAATAAGCTATAACGTTACCATTCTTTAAAACAATGACAAGAGTTGTTTGTCCTGAATGTGCTGTTCATGAGTCTGGAAGATCTTCTGAGGTAGCATTTATTAAGGTGGGGATGATAATTGCACAATGCAACTATAAAACAGCTTTTGTCTGTTTGAGTACTCGGTGTGAAAACCCTTCATGTTTCCTGTTCTCTTCTTGGCTCTGATTTGTTTTGTCTCTCTTCACCTTCATTCTAAGCAATGAGATACAAAACTGGAATGACTACCTACTATAACACTCCCTGCTAAACAATAACGCTGGTATTTGTTTCAGTTTGTGAGGCTGTGTGTCATCATAACAAATTGTGCTTCATGGTACATACTGTACTATTCACATGATGTACAAGGAGTATTTTTCCACGTCTCTCTGTGAACAGGTTTTGTCTGAAAACTGATGGGTTAATGAGATCAGAATCATGGCCCCATGTGTAGATGAGATCAACATTAAGGTTGAGTTTGATGACAAAAGAGATGGGCCATGTTAGTTGATTCAACAGTTTTGTATGTGATACCCCGGTGTGCTTTTCTTTTGGCTTTGGCACATCATAAATATAATCATTTTACTGCAGGTCTATTGCAACTATTACTTTTTTTAAATCAAGGCTGAAGATTTTTTCTTTTTGTTGCTGCTTTCGATTAAAGCAAACAACTATTAACGTCTGACACTGTAACATTAATTATTATATTTTATCCTGTCTTATTCTATTTTGTGTTGTTTCATTTTAATTTTATTCTTGTGGCTTTTTCATAATTTTTTTTAAATAAAAGAAATCTAAATTTAAGATAGGATAAGTTAAGACAAGATGGACTTTATTTATCCCTGTGGGGAAATTCAGGAGTTTAAAGCAGCGATAGAGTGAGAGTCCCACAGACCCAAACAGCACGCAAAGATTAAAGGTAAGCATATAATAATGTGTAATGAAACAAATACCAATAACTGTATTGCATTGTTTTCTTATGCGCAATTACTTCATACTGTCTTTGTCTTTTTCGTCCTGCATTTATTGTGCCCCCCTCAGAAAATAACTGGCCCCAGCCTGGCCCCCCCAGTCAAATTGGTCTAGAACCGCCACTGCTTTAATAGTCATTTTCTTAACCCTAATCGCAATGTAAGTTTTTATGTGTAGTTTGCCACTATTTTTCTTCTGAAAGTTGATGTATTTCAGACAAATTGAGCCGAATACAAATAGAAAACTGGAGATATTTTGTGAACGTCACAATGTTATGTTGCAAAAAGCATTTAGCTGTGAAGTCTTGCAGTTTAAGTTGCTGCACAGGGGGAACCGACCTATTCTGAAGCAAAACGATCAGCGAAGAAGTGAACAGAATTGATTTGCGTGTAGAATACTTCCGGTTTTCTTCCAAAAGTAATTGATCGCTTTTCCAACCATCTCAGCTGAGCCTCACTCCCGCTGCGTAACCAAGAAACTGCGCTCACTGTGACAGACACAATACTTAAGCTTTGAAAACAACATTTGCTAAACTTACACTTTATCAGGACACAAATTAGACAAAAAAATAAGCAGCAGGCTAAAAGCTTTTCTTTTCTTATTTCCTTATCTTCCTTTTAATCTTGAAATGCATCTGATCAACATAAAGAACATAATAATAATATTAATAATAATTGTAATTTATAAAAATGTATACATTCTTCTTTAAAGACTTCATACAAGTCAAATGCTGCTGCTATGGAAATAAGATCTAGCCCACTACACCAATGCTTTTAAAGTTGAAATGTGACAGGATTTTCTTTCATAAGTGAAACATCACACAACCGAAAAAAACGTCTCAAACTAATTATAATATTTATGCTAAGACCATATGGCCAACCCTCTATGAAAACAATATCAGCCTCCCTACAGACCTTGCGGAGGGGGCCTCATCTTGCGGAGGGAGCCTCAACTGAGCCGAAAATGCGATGCCCCCGTTGACGGTCGCGAAACAGAGGGCCTCATCATATAACTTTGCGTGGGGCCTCATGTTGGCCAGGGACGGCCCTGAGTGAACTGACCAACATAAAGTGCAAACAAGTTGATGATGCTGCAGGTCTGTGGTTTAATACAGTTTAATAGCTGATAACAGCTTTTTTCTATATAAACCTGTTCACTTTTAACAGCCGCCTCTGTAGCCAACCAGAGGTCCAGGAGGTCAGTAATAGTAAAGAAATGATTAGGAGTATCAATAATGATAACACATTCAAACTTTGCCCTTCTGAAATTAGGACCACTTCTGTGAACATGTGATCATTACTCATAATAGATAACAGGGATACTTATTGAGGTGAAGTCATTACAAACTGTCTGTAAAATGTCATTTTTATCATCATCATCATTTTACATTCTTGCTTTTGAGGATTTAATCTTTAGAATATACTGCTATTCTTTACTGTTTAATTATAAGTTAAGAAAGAGTACAAGCTAAAAAGCTTCATTCAGATAAATACAAAAATAATTAACAATCTGAATACATGTTATTGCTGGTAGACTTTAAATATTGCATTAAAAAAACATTTTTGTTCATGGTATTCAGCTAACAATGTTCAGTTTAAACTACATAATGTCACAGTGGATATGTAAGTACAGTTTGCAATACAAGTCCATATTCTTTATCAAGAACATACTTAAACTTGTTTATTTTCCTTTTACTGATGATACAACTGAAAACACAAGGCAATATGAAAGAAGAATGGACTTGTTCTCTGTTTTTTAATCATGCTTTTAATCCTCCATATGGCCTTTTCAAGAAACTAGGCATCCGTGGACCCAAACCTATGCCCTTTATTGGGACCTTTTTGGGGTACAAAAATGTGAGACGCATTCAAATGTGTGATAAGCTTACATTCCTCTTATAATGATTTTGACTTTGTCACTCCTCTATTCCTTAGGGCATTCACAATTTCGACACATAATGCTATCAGAAATATGGAAAGATGTGGGGGTAAGTGTGTGTACAAGAATACTCTATTATCTTAACATACATAGCATAGCAAAGCTCCAGGCTGTAACTGGCTCGCCACAATATCTGTCATTTAATTTTAAGGTTGTACGATGGCAGGCAGCCAATAATCGCTACGATGGACACAGCTATGATCAAAGCAGTCTTGGTTAAGGAGTGTTATTCTGTCTTCACTAACAGACGGGTAAGGAGCAAAGCACCCTGTTCCCAGTGATTCCCAAGTTAAGACCTCAATACTAATCAAATGTACACCACAATGTAAATAAGGCATTTTGTGTTTGTTTGTGTCTGTATATGTGTGTGTGGGGTGGGGGTTGGCTTTGGGATCTGGGCCTAAATGGACCCTTACGTGATGCCGTACCAATGGTAGAAGATGTGGAAGAGGATTCGCAGTGTACTCTCACCGTCATTCACCAGCGGTCGCCTGAAAGAGGTTAAAAAGCACACTGCACCTTTAAAATATTTGTAATGAGCATTGTTTGATCATTCTGGTATGAAAAGCATTCATTATTTATTTTTTTATTTTCACAGATGTATCCGATAATGTTGCAGCACTCAGGTAATCTGATCCAGAGCCTTCACAAGAAAGTAGAGGCAGAAGAAGTCCTAGATGCTCTTCTGTTATCTTTCTTACAGTGCAGACGCTTTTCTGCTTGCTCTTGCCTCTGCTTACTTTTTATGCTGATTTTCCTATTCTTATTCTCTGAAAACTTCGAGCAGCGGCTCCTGGACATTAACTTATCACTGGGACAGTTATTCATCGTAAATAGACGGAGGGTTTCAGCCATATTTCAACATTTTTACGACGACCTCAGTCTTACAGTAGCGTGGCCTAGCAACAGCTAAAGCCTGGTAGGCTACTGCATGCTATTTAGCTTAAGCTAGTTGGTAGCAAAATGCCTCCGTTCTCTACAGATGACTTCCACAAACTTCAACAGAAGATGGCTGTGTTGGAAATGAAAATGCAACGGTTGGAAGTTAACGTGGAAGTGAATGGACTATGTTGTGGGAATAACACCACTTTACCAGTGTTGCAAGATAATGGAAAAGGGTATGCTAACTCACAGCTAGTTAGCAGCTACAAGGTTTCCAAGGAACAGGAGGGCTGTGTACTGGGTAATAAATCTACAAGTGGTAGTCCTCCCTGGAACTCTCTGGGTGCTAAGCCTAAGAGTAAATCATTTCCATGGGATTTGGGAGGACGAATAACAGGCAGAGCCCAGCGCTCTGAAATCTGTGATGCGACCGGCTGGCCTGCATTGTTATCACCCAGGAAGAGTGCCTCTTCAACCCCTATTCATACTAGGAAACAGCCGTGGACAGCTGCTAAAGGGAGAACTACAAACAATCCTCCTAAACCACCAAGTGTGCCAATCCAGAACAGATACGCTCCACTGACCGAGAACCGGAGATCTCTTTCTGATGACCTGGATAACCCGTCCTCTTCACACAGCAGGGTAAGGACCAATAGCTACTCCAAAAGTAAAAGGCTAGAGGGAAAGCTAACGGCTGGGCCTGAAACTCTGATTGTGGGTGATTCTGCTGTAAGAGATGTAAAAGGTCTGTGTAGTAAGAACAACACCAAAGTACTCTGTTTCCCCAAGGATATGGTCTCCGACTTGGCTGAGAAGATCCTGCATATTGGGGCTGAACATCCGACTGTGAAGAATGTGGTACTACATATTGGAACAAATGATGTTGTGAAACAACAGTCAGAAGCGCTGAAAGAAGACTTTAAATGTCTGTTGGAAACTGTCAGCTCTCTAAATGCGGAGGTGTTCATCAGTGGCCCTCTACCGCCAGTCAGAAGAGGAGTGGAGAGATTCAGCAGACTGTTTGCATTGAACATGTGGCTTTCAGCTGCCTGCACTGACCATTCTGTCCATTTTATTGACAATTTTAACTTTTTTTGGGATCGCAGACATCTTTTTAAGGCAGATGGAGTTTGCCTGAACAAGTCAGGAGTGAAATTGTTTATCTCTAACATATTCAACTGCCTGCGTCAGCAATCTGTTCCCTCTGCCAAGGACAAGCGGCAAGAGGAATCAAAACAGGAGAAAGACACAACAAATTGCGCAGAAAACCCTGAAGAAGTATCACTGCACCCGCCTGAGGAATGTTCTGATTATGGGAGACCTATGACACAAATGGAGGAGTCTCCACTGCCCGTCACCCCCCCTGTCAACGCCTTGGAGGATACTCTTCATTCATCTCCCAGCTCTCTCTACTCTCCGCTCACCCTTTCACCCTCGCCCTCCCCCCTGGAGTTCGATGACCGCATGAAGGCGAGATGCAGGGTTGGCAGCATGTCCTTTACCCCCGCCCCTCAACGACGCCCACCAAAATCACCGAAGCAGAGACGCGCACCATCTCCCCCGTCTTCATCACTGTGCCTATGTCAACCACCTCCCATCCCTTCAAGAAAGCATCTGCAGTCTCCGAAGCCTGATAAGGATGTGTGTGTACAAAACGCAACAAACTTTTACTGATATGTGCTGGGTCCAGGCTCAAGGGCATATGGCACTCTCAACTCTTTCCAGCACATGCCGGGGCCCTGCCTGCCAGTAGCTTTGCCGATATCTGTGTTGATAGGTAATAGATTAAGAGCGGTAAATCAGCTTAGAAACAGGAAGTGCTCAAACGTTTGTGTGAGGTTATCAAATTTAGCAGTGATTCCATGTCAGCCACAGCTTGTCACAAAATGTTTTACTGATAGTGTATTTAACAAACTTAAACTAGCTTTATTAAATGTCAGGTCTTTGGCAGGAAAAACATTTTTAATCAATGATTTTATCACTGAGCACAATCTCGATTTTATGTTTTTAACGGAAACTTGGATTGAACAAAATAACAGTGCAGCTGTTCTTATCGAATCAACCCCTCCCAACTTTAGTTTTATGAGTCAGGAAAGAATGCATAAGAAAGGGGGTGGAGTTGCTATTTTGTTCAATGATTCCATTCAATGCAGGAAGACATCTTATGGGGACTTTGCTTCTTTTGAATATGTGGCCCTTCAGCTGAAATGCTCCTCTCGAGCTCTGTTCCTAAATATCTATAGACCACCCAAATACTGTGCAAGCTTTTTTGATGATTTTACTGAACTGCTGTCTATAGTGTGTATTGACTTTGACCGTTTAGTCATTGTTGGTGATTTTAACATCCATGTTGACAACCCCCAGGACAGAGGGGCTAAAGAACTGTTTTGTGTTCTTGATAACTATGGACTGACTCAGCATGTGGCGGAGCCCACGCACAATAAGGGGCACACTCTGGACTTAATTATCTCAAAGGGTCTGAATATCTCAAAGGTTGTGGTGACTGATGTTGCACTCTCTGATCATTCCTGTGTTTTCTTTGAGAGCTCTATTTCTGTTCACAAAAATGTTCAGAAAGAGGTAACCACAAAGCGATATTTAACTGAAAATACTAGGGAAATGTTTACTCAGAATTTCTCATCCACACTTGCCCCTGCTAACATCTCAGTAAATGAGCTAGTAGATCATTTTAATTCAAAAATTAAAAATGTTATAGATACCATTGCTCCAACTAAGGTAAAGGAAGTGATTAGCAAGAAAATATCTCCATGGAGAAAGGCCATGACCGTGAGAACAGAAAAAAGAGAGTGTCGAAAAGCTGAACGTAGGTGGCGAAAAACAAATCTCCAGGTTCACTTTGAAATCTATAAAGAGAGACTTGGCCTTTATAATTTGGAATTGAAAAACGCACGACAGTCTTTCTTCTCTGACATCATTACCAAAAACAAAAACAACGCACGTGCCTTGTTTGCTACCGTCGACAGACTAACTAACCCCCCAGTGTCAGTAGCCTCTGAATTTCTATCCACCAGGGCGTGCAATGATTTTGCCTCCTTCTTCACTGACAAAATTCAGAAAATTAGACAAGCAGTCAGTGCCTCTACATCAGGTACAGCAAATGTTTTGTCCCTATGTCCACCTAATATCAATTCAAACACCATGACACAATTCCATCAGATTAATGGTAAAAATTTAGAGGACATTATTCAACTTCTGAAATCCTCCTCCTGCTGCCTTGATATTATTCCAACAGGATTTTTCAAAGATGTTTTTCCTTGCATGGCCTCAGATCTACTTCATATAGTAAACACATCTCTTCACTCAGGTATTTTTCCAGAGGCCCTGAAAACTGCAGTCATTAAACCGCTCTTAAAAAAGAATAATCTAGATGCCTCAGTAATGAACAATTACAGGCCAATATCAAACCTGCCATTTCTAGGTAAAATCATTGAAAAAGTAGTATTTCAACAGTTGAGTAACTTCTTGCATTTAAATAACTGTTTGGATGTGTTCCAGTCAGGATTTCGTCCAAACCACAGCACTGAGACTGCTCTTGTAAAGGTCTTCAATGACATCCACTTAAACACAGACAGTGGCAGAACTTCAGTGTTAGTATTATTAGATCTCAGTGCTGCATTTGACACTGTTGACCACAACATATTACTAGACCGACTAGAAAACTGGGTGGGACTTTCGGCAACAGTTCTAAATTGGTTTGAGTCCTACTTAAAGGACAGAAAAAACTTTATTTCTATAGGTAAATACACATCTGAGTTGACAAATATGACATGTGGGGTACCTCAAGGCTCCATCTTGGGGCCTCTTCTCTTTAACATCTACATGCTACCACTGGCTCAGATAATGAAAAACAACAAAATAAGTCACACAAATTTACGTAACAATTTCACCAGGAGATTATGCTCCAATTCAAACACTGAGTAAGTGCATTGAACAAATCAATGACTGGATGTGTCAGAACTTTCTCCAATTAAACAAAGATAAAACTGAGGTAATGGTTTTTGGAGCCAAGGCAGAACGTATAAAAGTTAGCGCTGAGCTTCAGTCTGCAATGTTCAAAACAACAGATAAAGCCAGAAATCTAGGTGTAGTCAGGAACTCTGACCTGAGTTTCAACAGTCACATTAAAACATTAAAACATTAAAACTTCCTGAATCCCTTGCTTGTGCTTATCGGTATGTCAAAGTTATGCTGTACAACCTGACTGTCTAACTCGACCCCTTAAACCCAAAATTAACTATCTTTTGAACTATGATTCTTTTCAGTTCTGTTTCCATTCTTCCCTGCTGAAGTGACAGGGTTCTTCTACAACTTTCTAGCATCTATCAAATCAGACAGGAATAATAAAGAACATAAGGTATGTACAATTGATTGATGTTGATTTTTGATATGTTGTGTTCATACCTTTCCCTTAAAACACAAACTGGAGAATCAATATAGGATTTCTACTTTGCCTTGCAGAATCGAGTGGATTTCATGCAGTTGATGGTGGACTCTCAAAGTTCAAAGAACAAAGACGATGCAAGCTCCAACAAAGGTAGAGAAATAAATCATATTTCATTTTCTCTGTAGTCGCGGCTGAAGGGTCACTTTCTTTAAAAAAAGAAAAATCCCTCGGTTGAAAATAGAGTTTTTAACATTGTCTATATGCTACAAGACATAACATGAGATAGATAAGCAGTTAACACCATGGCCGAGGTGTTTATCAGGAATGTTTGAATAGGTTAATCATGTTTTTTTTGTTTTACAGGACTGACTGATCATGAGATCCTGTCCCAGGCAATGATATTCATCTTTGCTGGCTATGAAACCAGTAGCAGCACACTTGGATTTGTAGCCTACACCCTGGCAACACCTTACCAGAAAAGGTTACTACAGTTTTTGTTACTGTATCTATATTTGTATTTAATCAGCAACTGATCATGTGCTACCAACTACTTTATACTCCAGGATCGGCCAACCTATGAAGCAGTGATGCAGATAGAATACCTGGAGATGGTGATTAATGAGGCGATGAGGCTGTACCCTATTGCTAATCGATTAGAGAGAATGGCAAAGTCCTCCGTGGAGATTAACGGTGTGACCATCCCTAAAGGAACTGTCATAATGGTGCCAATTTACACTCTACACCGTGACCCTGATCTGGGGTCTGAGCCTGAGGCTTTCAAACCTGAAAGGTACTATACTAGATTGATGGCAGACTAAGGTACATTTTTACCTGAATTTAGTCATTCGGCTAATCAACTTAAGATGTTTGTTCATTCTTTTTTAGGTTCAGCAAAGAGAACAAAGCCAATACAGTTCCTTGGCCCTGCCCTTTGGAGCAGGGCCAAGGAACTGTATTGGCATGCGATTTGCTCTCTTGATGATGAAGTTGGCTCTGCAAAACCGAAGAACCAGTTCTGAACCTGAAAAGCTCTAGCTCGTAGCTTGAACCGGAGTTGCGTTGGTGTGAACATGGGCGTAGGAAGCATCCTGAATGTGGGGGGGACATTTTTAACGGGGGGTGTGGGGGCGAAAAAATATATAGATTTCCTGTATTCTGGTGCATTTTAACAGGTGGTTTGATACTTGTATGTGGCTATACTAGCATGAGGAAAATGATGGGTACATTTTGTAATTTCATCCAGTAGTAAAGAAAGGAAACATATTTGATTATTAATTCAGAGCTGTCTTTGAATTAATAAAAAGCAGTTTAAATGCCCATTTTTTGTACATTTATATACAACAATAAATATTTGAGTGCATTGAGAGATATTGTTGTGGAGAGTCATTTATATATAAATCGCAAAATACATTTGTGAATCCTTCTGTGAGCATTTATTAATATTGAGACTGATCTGACTCCATACAGATGTTAAGTTCAAATAAATGTTGCTCTTATGTCTATATTGGTCATATGATGCCCCTTGACTGAAATGTTTCCTGTTCAATATCCCCACTGATTTCCTTAAAATCCTGGGATGAGAGTCCACATCACAATTTACTCTCAACTGTCATTTCCCTTTCATCACTCACCTCAGCAATGGACCTCTCTCTCTGTCCCTGTATTCTGCCTCTGACTCACTCTCAAGTGCCTAGATGTCAAGAAAGGTGGTGAAGTGATAATTATTTATTGAGCAGTATACTCTTTCACATTGAATCATAACAAGTCATAATGAATGTAAATACAACTGACTCTAAAGTAAGTCCCAGTCTGTGACATTGGACATTTTGAAGACTCAAAGTCCCAAGCAGTAGGTATCTCTCTACCATGACATAAAGACGAAACTCCTCTCCAGAAGTGAGACGCCGCCATCACTGTTAACTGCTACCAGCTGATGACTTACTTTCCTCTTCTTTGAAAAAAATGTTCTTATGCCCATGTTGTCTGGGGGAGAAAACATATCAAACCAAGAGATCGTCAGCTTTGATTTTCGCTGTATTAACCATTTCCCGAACATTTGGTGTGTGTGCCTTACCTCCGCTACCGGCATCGCTTCATACAACAGATCTGAGCTGTCCAACTATGACAACACTCCTTGAACATGCGCGCGCTATGTGAGAATCTGCCTTGGTACAAAGTAGCAGTGAAAACATGGTACGGAGTTTCATTGATTTGGGCATTCTCTCAATAAGCAAGTGGAATGGATTTAATTTGATAGTAAAGCACTGACACAGCGCTCTACAAAGTGCGGCGAGTGGATAGACCGATTCACGGACTTTCCGCATAGTAAAAGTGGGGGGGTCTAAACTAATCATTTGAAAAAGTGGGGGGGACTTGTCCCACCCTCATATAATGGCTGCGACGCCCATGGGTGTGAATGAGGTAGTAGAGATCCTTCAGAACTTCAGCTTTGTCACTTGCAAGGAGACAGATGTAAGGAAACATTTTCAGTGTGTGTTGTCATAGTGAAGGTTTTTATGTAAGGTTGGGTGCAATCATGTTTGAGCTTTTACAGGGGTTCATTTTGGTCACATTTCTTGTTTTCCTAGATTCCAATGGAGCTGGGAGTTGATGAATTTACAACCCCCAAGAATCCCATCAAACTGAAGCTGGTGCCCAGAACAACCGTTGCCGATTCTCCCTCAAGCTAACTATTCGATTATCTATCTATAACTATCTCTCTTTTTCAAACCAATCTACAGCATAACAGTTTATTAATAATCAAATTAAAGGACACCATTTATTGTCAGAACACCATGTAAACTTGGCTCAAAAAGCTTGGTTCTACTTAAAAAAACATTTCTTATGTTTTCGTCCTTTTGATTTGCTCAAATAACTTAATTTTTCTCTATGTATTTTAACTAAATATATCCTTCTTTGTTATCTTTTTTAAAATCTTGAATATAAAAGATTAACCATTTGTGTAATCACCAGTACTATTCTTAACACATATGCTACACAATTGTATGGCAATTTGTTATCACTATGTTTGCTAATATGTTACTGTATCCCTCCTGTCAAATTGACCCGTTTGAAAGTTTGAAAATCTACGAAAAATAGATTTTTCGAAACTTTCTTGTATTTTTCTTGTATGAAACTTTCTTGTATTTTTCTTGTATGAAACTTCTTCTACTTACCTTAATTAGTGCAATAAACAAGTCAAATGAAAATATTTCATGTCATGCATTTGGAACCCCCCCCCCCCCTACATGTCTATATCACAGAGATGGTATTCGGGTCAATCTGACACAGCAGTGAAAGTGGAGGCAAAAGGGGGGCAGAAATACACACACACACACACACACACACACACACACATACATACACACACACACACACACACACACACACACACACACACACATACATACACACACACACACACACACACACACACACACACACACGAAAGTGGAGGCTAGAAGGGGTCAGAGGGCTCAAATGGGTTATACGATATATATATATATATCGTAATTTTCCACGGACAGACAGACAGACAGACAGAGAGAGAGAGACAGACAGACAGACAGACAGACAGACAGACAGACACCCCGCACCTGGCAGTGAAAGTGGAGGCTAGAAGGGGTCAGGCGGTTCAAATGGGATATACAAACACACACACAAATTGTCGACTGGGGGGGGGGGGGTGCTATAGTGACCTATCCGACCGGCCCACATCGTCCGACGTCCCGATGGCCAGTCCGCCACTGTCACACAGTTGATTTTTGCCGGCCGTCTGTATTTCCTTTCTTCTGTAATATGACTTGGTAGCTTTAAACTCCGCACACTGAGCTCTGATTGGTCAGCAGGCAGTGCTTTCACTGAGTTGATCTCTTATCCTGGAACCTAACCTGCTCCGGACCAGGCTAGCCGTTCAGCATAAATTACCATGGAGATCTAGCCCGCTAAGAAGTGAACCAGCGTCGTAGGACCGGAAACCCAGAGTTTTCCCTGAAGTTAGCTGGCTAAGCGAAAATCCGACTTCGTAGTACAGGCCTCAGGTTTTGTCTGAAAACAGATGGGCTAATGAGATCAGAATCATGGCCCCAGGTGTGTAGATGAGATCAAGATTAAGGTAAAGTTTGGAGATCTACGATGACAAAAGAGATGGGCCATGTTAGTTGATTCAACAGTTTTGTATGCCCGGTGTGCTTTTCTTTTGGCTTTGGCACATCTTAAATATAATCATTTTACTGCAGGTCTATTGCAACTGCTTTCGATTAAAGCAAATAACTATTAACGTCTTACACTGTAACATTAATTATTCTATTTTATCCTGTCTTATTCTATTTCGGCTTGTTTCATTTTTATTTTATTCTTGTAGCTTTTTCATGAATTTAAGATAGGATAAGTTACAAGATGGACTTTTATTTATCCCTGTGGGGAAATTCAGGAGTTTAAAGCAGCGATAGAGTGAGAGTGGAAAACAGGACAGAACAGATTCACACAAGGATAATAAAATAAAAAATAACATTATATAAGTAACTGCAAAAACAAGATCTCACAACAAGGTGAAACATTGATCATTTAATGAACATGTACACAACAGAGCCGATATTTCTCTGTAGATTCATGAGCATTACACAAAGTCATTAGATCCAATATGTTTATGGAATTATACTTTAAAGGTTTTTTACACAAATTAGATACTCTTCCACTTTATATGAAACATGACCTTATTGTTATCACAACGTTTTGACAGGTTATTGACTAAAAGTTATAAGCACACTTATCACTATCACATTGAAAATAAGAATTAGGACATTTCAATCCAAATCATCAATTCTATAGTCAAAGTTAAGTCAAGTTTTATTTTAGTTATAGCTAAACCTCACTTTCTCATCACACTCTGATTTGAATGAGAATCTGCTCATTAAAGGACTATGCAGTATGAAGTCTAATATTAGAAAAATAGAGAGTTACACAAAGGACAATCATGTAAATAATTATTTATTCAGTTGTTTGTCAGGGCACTTGCCGTAGACGTCTTCTTTATGTATGTTCTTGTATGCTGGCATTTAAACTTGATCATAATAAGCTATAACGTTACCATTCTTTAAAACAATGACAAGAGTTGTTTGTCCTGAATGTGCTGTTCATGAGTCTGGAAGATCTTCTGAGGTAGCATTTATTAAGGTGGGGATGATAATTGCACAATGCAATTATAAAACGGCTTTTGTCTGTTTGAGAACTCGGTGTGAAAATCCTTCTTGTTTCCTGTTCTCTTCTTGGCTCTGATTTGTTTTGTCTCTCTTCACCTTCATTCCAAGCAATCAGACAAAACTGGAATGACTACATACTATAACATTCCCTGCAAAACAATAACGCTGATATTTTTTCAGTTTGTGAGGCTGTGTGTTATCATAACAAATTGTGCTTCATGGTACATACTGTACTATTCACATGATGTACAAGGAGTATTTTTCCACGTCTCTGTGAACAGGTTTTGTCTGAAAACAGATGGGTTGATGAGATCAGAATCATGGCCCCATGTGTAGATGAAATCAACATTAAGGTCGAGTTTGGAGATCTATGATGACAAAAGAGATGGGCCATGTTAGTTGATTCACCAGTTTTGTATGTGATACCCCGGTGTGCTTTTCTTTTGGCTTTGGCACATCTTAAATATAATCATTTTACTGCAGGTCTATTGCAACTATTACTTTTTCAAATCAAGGCTGAAGATTTTTTATTTTTGTTGCTGCTTTCGATTAAAGCAAATAACTATTAACGTCTTACACTGTAACGTTAATTATTCTATTTTATCCTGTCTTATTCTATTTTGGCTTGTTTCATTTTTATTTTATTCTTGTAGCTTTTTCATGAATTTAAAGTGGACCTATCATGCTATATTTGAATAATATAGTGTAGGACCATACCTATATAAGGCATATTTATACTTTTTTTTTTTTCAAAATACCAAACAGATCATGCATTTTAGCCATGCCTCATTTCGCTCAATTTGACCATTTCTAGCTCTGTTTTAGCAAGGGTTGATTATGTGAGCAACAGCACCATCTACTGGCCTGGCATATGTACTACAGCGTCTCCAGCGCTTTCGAACGGCAATGGCCGTGGCTGTCTCCTCCTGATTGGTGGAGTTGGCCCAATAGCCGTAACTCCACTGTCCTGACGTCAGGACAGTGTTCAAATCTGGATCAGTTTTTATCAGATCCGTTGCAGCCCCTTTTTTAGAGATTTGGGTATGGAGGAAAATAGAGAGGGTTGTGTTTTCTGACACTTAGTGAGTTCCCTGGAACACCGGGGACACATATTCATGTATAAAAGACGTACAAAAGTGCATTTTGCATGATAGGTCCCCTTTAAGATAGGATAAGTTACAAGATGGATTTTTATTTATCCCTGTGGGGAAATTCAGGAGTTTAAAGCAGCGATAGAGTGAGAGTGGAAAACAGGACAGAACAGATTCACACAAGGATAATAAAATAAAAAATAACATTATATAAGTAACTGCAAAAACAAGATCTCACAACAAGGTGAAACGTTGATCATTTAATGAACATATACACAACAGAGCCGTAATGTATTCATGAATTGTAAAGCAATTGTGTTGAAATGTGCTATATTAATAAAGAGTAAGATAATACCACAGTATTGAGTATGTAAGTCGCTTTGGATAAAAGCGTCCAACAAGTGACATGTAATGTAATGTATGTAATAAGTGGTTAAAACACGCTGGTATAGCAGATGTAAGAATGAAAAAAGCATTGTGTTACAAAGTGAGTGACAAAAAATCTGAATCCAAATTATTAAAAGTATATAATCATATCATACTACCCACACTTATTCTTTATATTGAACATAAGCATATGATACACAGTGAAACCCTCCCTGCGCCTCACCCTGTGTAAAAAGCCCCCCCTACTTTACACCCCCAAAATGTATTTTTATTTGAACATAGGTAGAAAGAAGCTGAAAAATGGAAACCAGAGGTAAGTCAAGATAAAACATAGACACTCAATTTTAGACAAAACATTTTGGAGATATATTCAGATCTTTTAAACTTTGGTTTCACAGTTAGAGCACTTTATCACATTATTCAGATTTTCTGATGAGGACTTATGAGATACTTTTAATTTGAATGACCTCCATTTATGTTTAATTCTTTTGGCTGGATAATTATGAAAACGTTTTGCTTCAGGGAATCTTTTTTTTCCGGAGAAAGCGCCCAAGCTGACGCCTCAGTTTCCCATCTGATAGTTCTGTTTCCTCCTCTTTTTGCATTGACTCATCTCTTTGCGTGCATATTTTCCATTCTCGAAAACTCCCTGCACGTCACCTTGAAAAACAACAAACACTCCCTGTAAGAAGTAGGCAAACTGGTCGTAAACAACAACCTAGAAATGTAAACATCTACAGTGTGGGCGCAGTGAAACCCGAGTGCACTGGAAGATCTTTGTCTGATGCAAATGAAGTGTAAAATGCAGAAAGAGAAGCACATTTTTCCAGTACAGTATAATGAAATGAGTGGATAACTCATATTTAATACAGCAGATGTAAGGATGGAAAAAGGGTTTGCTTATTATGCTTCATCTGTATGTACAGTCGATATTGAAAGTGAGCAAGTATCTCTATTCGCAAGAAGTGACAAACAAATCAGAGAGAGAACACTCAAAGCATTTCCTCATATCAAACATTTCTTCTCTCTATT